ATAGGTAAGACTAGTGATTTCATTAGAGTCTAATTAAGAATTTAAAAGTGTAAACAAGGCTTTGTTTTAGTGGTTAAGGCACTTTTAATTTAAAATTTAAAATTCAATCAATTTCTTAAAAAAAATTTAAAATTTTAAAAATATTTAAACTCTATTTAATTTGATTGTTAAAAAGAGTTAATAGTTGTAATTATTAACTAATAACTGATAGAATAGCTAACACCTATGAGAGTATTTGACCTAGAGGTTAGTCATAATTGAACGGTTCATGTATTTTGAATTATTAGCTACATTAAAACAATTAATTCAAACACCCTTTATTACTTAATGGCTTGAAATCAACTTATGCATTGATGTTTGCCTGACCAATTATTTAAGAGAAAAATGTTATAAATTGATAAAATTAACCAAACCAAACATAAATTAAAAGTTAATTATAAGTTTTATTAGATTTATTTCCCAACTTTCTTCTAATTTTGTTTTTGACCAAAAGCGCAATAAGGTGATCCCACAAAAGAAAATCAAAATTTCTTCCATATTTTAATAATGATTGCATCCAAAGTTTCAAACAAGGCGCCATTCAATGTAAAAACTAGAAAGCATCAATCCCAAATCTATGCCCAAGTCTAAAATTATGTGCCATGCTTTTCATATTTCTTTAATCCAATTAATCACTCAACCATCTCATATTTGACAAAAAAAAAAAAAAAGGGTTAATTCACCTACATTTTCTTTGGGCCATCAAACTACTGCTAGTACATAGAATTCTAAGATTTGAATCATCAAAAATGAGAAATTAACCATTTGAATTTGAAAAAGATTATGCATGAATTGTAAGCCATTGTCATAATGGAATGAGGGTCCTAAAGAACACCATCCGCACGATTTGGCGTGGTTATAAAGACATGATCCAACAATGACAAAAGTATTTTGCTTAATCTTGTATTGTAATAATGTATAGAAGGGGCCCTATATATGCTCATTCCCAATGATAATATATTACCGATAAAACCTTATTTTCAAGCATCAATTTGATTAGGTCAAGAAGGGCCATGGTTTTGCAAGTTCGATATTATAATCTACTATTGCAACGAAGCTTCATAATTTGTCAAGTAGGCGTTTAGGGCTAAAAACATCAAACTACGTATTCTTATTCAGCTTTGGATAAGCATGAACAAGAGGAGATGCGGTTGAAATGTCCAAATCCATGCGTCCAAAAGCAAGTAGTTCCCCATTGCTTCTCCATGTGACCACTGTTTGATGTTAATTTGAAGTGTGGTACCAATCTACATTAGTGGAATGGGGAGCACGTCTAAATCTACAATTGAAATAGTTAGTAACAATTATCTTAGGTGTGTTTTTCCTATTTTATTGTAAGTAAGATGTGTTCAACTGCTATTTGAATCATAAATTTTCATTTTTTGTAAGTGGAAGTGTGTCTACGTCTAGTTTTTCAGGACATGAATTTAACTAAATAGGTTGTATATGTGTAGTTATATAAGATGTGAATTTAGTTTTGCCTTAAATTATTAGTGATTTTGACCATCATTAATTTAAGTAACATAAGATTCAAAACTTTGTTTTAACACCACTATGCTTGGGTACCACTTCTTGGGAGACAAAATTAGCAAGAGCTTATAAATAAGGCACAATATATATGTTTCAAACATTATCATACAAAAGATTAACACCTTTAAAATTCATGAATGTAATTTCTCATATATATATTTACTTTGTTTTCACCATACGTCTTTTGATATGAAACTACACACATATGTTAACCCTCAATACATACCATATAGGCATATACTATCGGAATGTCAGTACATGTATTTTCTATTATAGAACTTTGGATTCTATGATTAAGAACACAAGAAAGCAATTAAGAATAGGATACCATGGAGAAGTACAAATAAAGATGCAACAAAAAATGAATAAAAGCAAGAAAAAGAAAAAGAAGGTGGTAGAGGGAGAATTAACCCGAATGGGGAGTAGGGTAATGGTAATGATGGTGATTTGAGAATGTGGGACAGATACCCACCATTTCTTTTTGCTTTTGTGCCTGCTCTTTCATTCTCTTCTTTTACTTTTTTTTTTTTTTTTCTCTTCCTCTTCCTCTTCCACCCGTCCTACCTTTTTGGGGTTTAGAAGAAAAATCTAGTAATCTTTCTCCTCTCTCCCAAAAAGAGGAAAAAGCCCTAAAAATTAAAATGTTTTTGGTGTTTAATTGTTCCTCTCAATGATGGCTTGAGACTTGGGATGATCTTTAAATTCAATGAATATGAACCAAATAATAGATAGGGGAAGACGGTGAAAACACATGTAGAAACATGGCAAAATTTTTTGGTTCACATCCATGGAATTTAAAATTTAATTAAAAAAAAAAATTTTATCCGTCCTTCCCTAAAGCTAATAATGCAACCATCTCCTATTTATTTACCCATTGCTCTCATATATCCCCGACTTGTATCAAAGACCTCTTACTCCACTTAACGAATAGATTACCACTAGTCACTTAGGTTGCTAGCCAAAGATGGCATGATTAAGCCTCACCCATGTATACACATAACATGATAATTATCTCACCAAGTGAGAAAATAAGTATTTCAAGGGACAAGAAAGCTTTGTCTTTTGATTGAAATTTCTAAATTTAATTATTATAACATTCTGAATCGTATCTTCTTATCACATCTTTCACTACTCTAAGACTTCTACAACGCCATACAAAACATACAGTTCAAGCCAAACGCCATTCAACTGAACTCATTTTCTCACTTTGGAAAGAAATCAACCTATATATATCAAAAGTTGATGCATGACATTACAAAAGACTTGTGGTTCCAAATGGATTGCTGGGGTGAGGCTGCGCAATGGGATTCACTGGAAATTGCCCAAAAGCTGCATCCCCAAACGGATTTGTTGGGCTCATCATCAAATGTTGCTGCTGCTGCAATGGTGGCTGATAGGTAGGCTGGTAAGGGCCAAATGGATTTGTTTGCTGTTGTGCCATTGATACCATTTGAACTGCTGTAGGAGGAGCAATGTTGTTTGACATTGCAAACGGATCATGCACCTCAAATGGGTTTGGAGCTGGGGCTCCGTAGACAGGCTGCTGGGCTGCTCTATATGCAGCGTCATCATACAAACTGTTGAGAGTGAGGGTGTCCAATCCACCCGCCTGACAAATTATTGGCCACAGAAACAATAAGGCATACAAACTAATACTATATAAGTTCATAAACATCATCTGAACATTTTTAGTTGGGTATGCATGCACCTAAATGTGCACGCTGCACACACACACACTCACACATGTGAAATGATAAGAAATTTGCCTACCAATTGCCTCTCAGTGACTGAAGAAATGTTGGTACTTGGTGTAGTGACAAGGGCTAGTTCCCATCCAGTAGGATCAAAGTCTTTTGCTTGGGTAGCACTAGAACCAAATGCTGAAGCAGCACCTGCAAATAAAATGTTAAATCTACCAGGCAAAATTATAATAAGATCAATGATTACAGAGATCAATCAGATAAGAAAAATAAATAGAATAAAATAATTACTTACTAGGCTCAGTTGGAACAATGGCTAATGCTAATGCATTACTTTCCTCAATGGCAATGGCATCAGGTGAGGACTGACTCAAGCCCTGGACCCACAGAAAATGTAATGAAAAAGTAAAGGAGAATACCCCAAAAAATAATCAAAAGGTGACTCTGAATTTATAGATTACCAGAAAGTCTCCAGTGTCCATGTTGTTCTGAGGAGCAGGTGGAGGTGGAGGTGGAGAAGCAGCATTCTCAACAGCAACAACATCATCATTAACAGGGGCTGGTGGCTCTGGTTCTTCATTGGATGCTTTGGCATCTTCAGAAGCACCTTCTTCTGGACGATATGTCAATTGGAGCTGTTTATAATGACACATGTTATTCTGATGGCCTATATGTGTTAAGTAGCCTACAAAAGCTGTAGTCCACAAGAACCACCAAACTCAAAACTGACCCCAGAAACATGACACAAGTTATATCAATCAACTTGTCTTTTAGCTCAATCTAAAAGAAAATACTTGGATGACAGAAAGATCTGTAGACTTCAATTTATCCTATCCTCTGTTATCATATTTTTTCATTTAATCTTCCTCCTCTTAGTCCTTACGGACAATAGTTAAATCAATATTTTAGTTTCAAGTAAAAGAATCATCTCACACTAACTTCCCCACCTTCCCTACAAAATTTCTCTTCTACCCTCTCATAGATACACATCTCTATTTTTCTATATCAAAAATTCATTTATCTCCACACTCTAAGTTCAGCAATTCCCATGATTGAACCTTTTCTGAGCCAACCAGCTAAGGTTTAATCCATAGATTACACAGGATAATATCAAAGCATTTTCACATTTCATTCTTGGACCTTTTTTTTTCACATGAGGTTAATTTTTAATCAGCTCCACAGGCAGCAAACCCTGCTAACAGGGGTGTCAGTATCACCTTTCCACTGTATATGATAACTGGTTTCCATTATCACATATTGTACATTCCTAATTGACTAGTTCATCATAGGTTCAAACCATATCTTGAAGATTTTACATCTTGTCTCCAGGGCTAATCATTTGCTTTGATGAGAAAACTAGTCAGCAAGTTCCACAAATGGCCAAAAATATAAACATCAATTGATAATTGATATCAATTATTATGGTACATATATTATCCTGCTTATAACAGAATAAAAGATGTACTGACCAGTGGCTCAGTTGGAACAGAAACCACACGTGGTGCCTCTTTAATATACTCCTCCATGGTTGTGAGGAAAAATTGTGGTGGCTGTAAAAGGTCAGAAAAAGGATATTATAAACAGATGGAAACCACTTGACTGCAGAGAATTAACAAAAACCATCTGAAACATGGAACTGGCTTTATGGTACCTCTCTAAGAACAGGAAACTGGAAGTTTCTAGCAAGCTCTAATGCCTTACAAACTTCATAGAAATCAGAAAGGCTACTAGCCTGCAACATATTTGTAGATTATATTTTATTAGGACACTAGTGTTTTAACGAAAGATAACTCAATATCCATAATTGCAAATCAGCTGATATATACCACCTAAATTTAGCTTGCAAAACCAAAATAAAAAATCACCTGCTGACCAGCTCGCTTGTATACATCAAGGGCGTTAACAGCTTCATGTCTTGGCATCTCAAAAAACTGCAAGAAATTATAGTATGAGAGAGAGAGAGAGAGAGAGAGAGAGAGAGAGAGATTCTTATGTAAACAATAAAATACCACCTTACCTTATCAACAAGATTGATGATTCCATCATTAATGGCACAATATATTTTAAAGCTCTCCTTCAACACCTGAAAATTGCAAGTATTGTAAGGTCAAAAGCTTTTCATAAACATACTCAATGCATCAAAATCCCATCATTTTACATCTCACTGTAGAGGATAAAGAGGCATAAGGAATATTATCTCTTATATACATTTGCTTTGGAAATACAATAATGCATGGAGAAGACTCAAATAATTGTATGACAGAGTAGAATTGGTAGTATCTTTTTCTTATATTTCAAGTTTTGACCATATGTCCCAACAGAGACAAAAAGGCAGGATCTCCAGATAGAAGGCATCTGCAAATGGTTAAAGAAAAATAAAAGGCATTTCCTTAAACAAAATAAAAGAACCACATCCTCATCATCACCATATGATCATTGTTATTTCACGTGCAGGAAACATTAGTCCAAGTATCAATTCCAATAATCTTATCTACCCTTCTATCCATAACCTCTTTGAACAGCAGCATGGTTTCTTCTCCTAGTTTGCACCGGTGCAAGACTTTTCTGACATGTTTGAAGCCTAGACTAAATAATAAAAAACAGTAAAGAAGATATTCAGGTCCAGAGAGAGAAAGAGGAATACCATAGCCAGGGCATACTGTATAACATAATTACTAGTCGCAGCACCTTCTGGCTGCAAAGAGAAAATAGCAGCATGTATTAATTATCAACTTACAGTGATAAAACATTAACATAGAACAGGAGTTCAGCACTTCAACAGAAAAGTGAGGTTACAGAAATAAATACCCGGCAACCAACGAGACGAAACAGCAGTTGTTGCAAAGCAGGTAATTGCTCCAACAGATCTTCACTGCCCAATTCCCTAGTTCTGCTGTAACCCTGGCCCCACAAAGAAATGAGAAGAAAACAAAATGCATGAATCCCATGGGTAAAACCAACAACCAATAACCAAAACAATTCAACAGAAAGACCAATGCAATAAAATCATACCTTATCCTGCCCTTGGCCAGGTCTTGGGAGATGCTCTGCTTCAATGTCATACTTGAGAGCCCTAATACATTCAAGTCTTTCCTCCAAAAACTGTGCATATGTACGCACCCAGGCTGAGCAATCCCAAGCTGTAGGCCAGATTGGGAGAAAAGAGAATGCAATAACAACAATAAGAAGTTAGTGATGATGACTTGGAAAAATACAAGTACAATGTGCAGGTGCATGTGTGCATTCACAGATGGGTGTGTGTGTGTGTGTGTACAACTCACACAAACAATGTACAACTCACCAATTGGGCTTGAATCATCCTTGAAATTTGAAAGTCGGAGAATACGTGCTCTTTGTGAGAAATTTAAAAGTTCTTCTCTGAATGTAGGATCACCCTCCCTCAATGCTCTATGGATAACTATAAGTGTTTTCAGGGCAACCTATGTACAATAGAAAAAAAAAAAAAAATCAATAACAACAATCTACTTACCCTGATCAGTACAATTGTCTAGATAGTGAAAAATTGTAAAGCATCAAACCAACTAATTTCATCAGTTCATAAATGGAAATTCAAAAAGTAATCCAAGATCCATAAACATGCATTTCAAGCTGTTTAAAACTTTAACACATCAACTAATTTCAAACATAGCCAATAGTCTAACATGAATAGAAGATGTGACATTGTAGAAGAATGGCACATTAAACCTAGCCATTTTCATTTTCATTTTCATTTTCCTTTCCTCTCCTTCATCTTCCACATCCCTTGTAAGTACTATTAAATATTAAATCTCTCTTATTTCATCTAATAAGTTTCCATCTTAGTTTTTTATAACCTTCCAATTAACTAACCAAAAAACAGGTACCATTGTTCAAACATAAAACCTTAGTTTTTCAGCCCACAGACACCTACAGAAATAACTCAAAAACAGAGCAATTTTTGCACTCCCAACACCGTCCAAAAAATTTGGATGAAAGAAATAGAATCATAGATTTGTATTGTAGCTCCATTCTCAATGAAAAACAAGCATGCATTCAATGGAAAAATACATATAGGACCAAAGATGTAATTGACATGTGTTTGGAATTTCCATGAATATCAAACCAAGGCTATCACATATGCTTTTGTACCTTGTTAGTTGGAATATCTAATCTCATTCATTGATTCACATAGCTTAATTGGATGGTATCTAATGCATAAAGGAAATATGCAAGGAAAAGCCTCTGATTTAGTGATTTTAACTCCCAAAATACCATCAAGACAGATCTCTAGGCACACACCACCAGTATCGATGTTATCCCAATTAATTCCAATAAAAATAAAAATAATTAAAAAAAAAACACCAATAAAGATCCAAAAAAGATCTAAAAATGAATCAAATTTGCAGCATAATTCAAAAGTACAATTCCAAGCCATAAAATCAGAAAATACCGTCCAATTCCGAGTCTTTGCAAGGCGCCGGGCAAGTGCATGAATGCAGTAAGCAACATCTGCTCGAGGACGAACTGCTGATGTAGCAATCAAGATTTCTACAACATAAAGCACAAGAAATTAATCATCCAAATATCGCAAATCACACTAAAAAGCAAAAACCCAGCCATAAAAACTAGATCTTCACATCCATATTCAAAAAGAAAATGAAAAAAAAAAAAAAGGACGAATGAAAAGCAAAATTGAAAACCAAACTCACTTCTAAGGTGCCTATCTTTGGGTGGACACTCAACATGGTTCGTAGCTTTCACTATGGCCACATCCAAATCCTAATCACACCACGAAATCAAACAAAACCCAGAAATCAAAATCAATTGAATGAATCAAACAGATCGACATTGCGACCAAATTGAGAAATGCGATTCCAGTTATAAACAATGCATAAAGATGGAAAATCAAAGAAATACCGCGTAATCGCTGTTGACATGAGCGAGGCCGACTTTGGTGGAGTCCTTGATAGCACCATAGGCTTTCCTCCATGACTGAAGTGTGCCCATTTGTAATCTTCACCGCTCGGATCGCTCTTCCACAAAATCTATGGCTCTCGTTCCTTCTCTCTCTAGAATTTTCCTTCCTTTTGTATCTATGATTACGTGGTGTTTGCGGCCTGATTCTCTCGGATTTTGATTTTTCTCTCTGAAAATACGAGAAAATCAAAGAGTGGAATCGATCAAACTTCAGAGGAGAACAACGAAAGAGAAACAGAGAGAATGGCAGCGTATGACTATTGTTCGACGCTGCTGTGCGTCAACCGCAATATTTCCCGTTTTAAATTTTATTTAATTTTATTTTTGAGATTTTCATTTTGCACGGACTGAATCAGTCATCAGATTTATTATTATTTATTTATTTATTTATTATGTAAACAATATCACCCCTTAACTATTTAGTTTCGTTGACAAACATAAATGGTTAAATATGTAAATTATATTATAAATTATTCTGTTGAAGGAAATTATCATTTTAAAAAATTAATAATATAATTTATTATTTTAAATTTATATTTTTTTAAAATAATTTAAATTTAACCATTTTCATTAAATTTTGTTAAATAATTACTTTTGAACCAGTAAAAAGTTAACATAACTATTAAATTTAAAATGATTTCTTAAAAATAAAAATTTATTGTGATAAAATGCATCAACATTTCTCTAAATAAAATTTATTTCAACGTAATAATTTTAAAAATAATTTGCATATTTTGCCAACATAAATAGAGGGAGAAAAGATGAAGATAACATTATAAATTTTATTTTTTTAGAGTTTATCTATTTTATATCTTTATTTATTTTATGTCTCGATAAAAAACAATAATTATGTAATTATTATTAATTTTTATCTTAAAAAAGTTGACTTTTATTGTATTTATAAAGTCATGTGTTAGTTTCTCATTTGATCATTTTAAAATTAAAATCAAAACTTGTTTTTTTAATTTAAAATTTCACATTAAAAAAATGATAATTATTAACTAATGGTTGCTTCTTATTGTGCTCTTAGAATATAAGATAGATAAATCTTTTTTATTTAAGAATATAAACTTTTTAAGGTTTTCAATCATGAGATAAACTTTTATTTTTTTAAATGAAGATATCAATTTTGTATTTTTTCTATTTAAAAATATTAGCTTTTTATATTTCTAAATTAGATAATAAAATTTCATTTTTTTCCTAAACAAGGATATGAAGTTTGCATTTTTTTTTTTATATATATAAGGATTTATTATATGGCAATGATGATGTAACAAATGACAATTTTAATCAAAATAGGATAAAACTTATATCCTTAAATAAAAATAATAATGCTAAAAATCAAGACTTCTTAGTATTTAAATATTAGGACATTCAATCAAAATCATATAATAAGTGAAATATTACCTAAACCTCATTTAAGTTATGGTTAAGATTAAATGTTATAATATTTTTAATATTAAAACATCATAAATTTTACCTTTTTAATTAAAAATGAAAAATTTTGTATTATTAAATTTTAAAAAAATAAATGTTTATTACTTGATCTAAAAATTTTGAAAATTTATTTCCTTAAAAAATAATAAAATATGTTTTTATCTAAACTTTTTGTCATTGAATGAGAGAACACCCTCTAATTTCGAAACAAAACTCTTTTTCTATGAAATTCTTTAGTAGTATATTTAACTTAAAGAAAATAAAAAGGCAAGGAGAGCAAAAAAAAATTTATTTTTTTATTTTTTTTAAATTTATTTATTTATCTAAATAAATAAATAAGGATAAGAGAGGCAAAGAGTTCCATTTTCCTCCCCTTCCTTCTTCCCTCCATTCTTTTCGAT